AGAAATTTTTTTTCAAAATATTAGGGACCCATCTGATGTTTAAGGATCTTGAGCAAACCCTAAAAAAAATTTTTATTTAAAAATTTAAAATGTAGCATTAATTTATTATATAGAACACATTTAGGGGTAGCAGCAAAAACAATATTTTTGAAAAATATATTTTTCAAAAATATTGTTTTTAGAACCATCCTAATATATATAACTGAATATAAATACATCTTTGTATAAATAAAATCATCTTTTTATGCAAATATATAAAATAGCAAATCATATGTACGCATAAAAAATTTTGGTTTCTTCAAAACACTCTACAAAAATAATACACAACAAAATTTATTTATCTAAAAAAGACTTCATTCTTTGTATTTTTTTATGAATAATTTTACATCGTAGTTGAAAGAAGTAAAAGCTAGAAATACGTTATACACAAACTTAAAAGACAAGCTAACGCGGAAAACATGTGTTGTTTCACAAAAGTAATGTAGGTAAAAGTAAAATATAACAACTTAGACGTTTTATTGTTGTTTTTTTTCAAAAAAATGTGTGATTCCTAAATTGACTGTAAAAATTTGACTAAAAGATGTGCATTTTTTGCTAGTGGGTTTTTATTATTTTATATTTTGTGTTGAAATATTTAAAGAATACCTAAATACTACAATGATAAAACACATACTTTTGAAACAAAGAAATGAATTTTATAAAACTATATAACAACTTTGAAGTTTATTTTATAACAACTTTTAACTTTTTTATTTCAAATAACAGTAAAATTACATTAAAACTATTTTAAATAACAAATAAACTAAAAAAACTTGATTTGAAAAGTAAGAGAAGAACAAGAAATAAAAGTTTAATTTTTGAATGAATTAATTAAAATTTTGAATAAACTGACCATGCTATGCAATAAGTAGGCTATGTAATAAATCTTTTTAAGTCTATATAAAAGAAACATAGAAATACTGTTTATTCAATGTTATAGTTATCGCTTGTTTATGAAAAAATACTCTTTATATTAGTAAGTGAATAAAGTATGTAAATGAGAATTAGCGTCAATTCGATGTTGGTGTTAAAGCTGTAATTTTGTAATAAATGTAACATTTTAATATTTGGTTAATAATTTACATTTTTATTAGGAAAAACGTAAAATACTAGGACGAGTTATATTATATATAAATAATTATATTTAAATTTGTGTTCGAAAATTTAAAAAAAAAAAAAAGTATGATAGGATATTTAGACCGGTATGCCCAAAAAATTTCTGGTCACTGTATATATATATATATACATATATATATATATATATATATATATATATATATATATATATATATATATATATATATATATATATATATATATATATATATATATATATATATATATATATATATATATATATATATATATATATATATATACATATATATATATATATATATATATATATATATATATATATATATATATATATATATATATATATATATATATATATATATATATATATATATATATATATATATATATATATATATAGTCTTGCATGTCTCTTGCGTAGCATCAAAAAATATTTCCCATAAACTGTAGTTTTAAAGAGCGCGTTAATAAACCAGACCAGAAAAAGTTTTAAAAATTAAATTTTTTTTTTTAATTGATAGACTGCCTGGCCAAACCAAACCCTCAGTCGATGTAGCAGCACTCTCTTGCGAGTCAGGCTATTTGTCAGTCGTTGTAGCAGCACTCCCTTGCGAGTCAGGCTATTTGTCAGTCGATGTAGCAGCTTTCCCTTGCGAGTCAGGCTATTTGTCAGTCGATGTAGCAGCACTCCGTTGCGAGTCAGGCTATTTGTCAGTCGATGTAGCAGCACTCCGTTGCGAGTCAGGCTATTTGTCAGTCGATGTAGCAGCACTCTGTTGCGAGTCAGGCTATAAGATAGTCGATGTAGCAACATTTACGCATGTTTAAAAAATGTTTTTTATTAAATCAATAACAAAAACACCACTAATTAAAAAAAACTTTCTAGTCGTTATAATTGCGGTTTTTTAAAAATTTTTTAAAAAACAATTAAATTTAATGTACTTCCGCATAAATTAATTGCTTTGACATTTCGATGACAATCAAAAACAGCTTAAGAGACGAGGTAATTAAAATTGTAGTCGTAAGAGACTTTTTTTACATTAAAATGCTCTTAAAGCGACACTATATGAGTATATATATATATATATATATATATATATATATATATATATATATATATATATACATATATATATATATATATATATATATATATATATATATATATATATATATATATATATATATATATATATATATATATATATATATATATATATATATATATACATATTAGTGATGTACCGATTAATCGGCATCAGCTTAATCGGCTATTTTTTGCACAATCAGAATCGGTGTCGGCATCAGCCTTTTTTTACCGATTTTCCAACCAATGGCATTTTTATATTTTTATCCTGCATTATTATAATAATTAAGTAATAAATAAACTAAAATTTGTGCATTACTTAGAATTTTTTTTATAAATTTTTTTTTTGACTTTGTTTACAGGCAAAAGCTTTAAAAGCAACCTATTTAAGCATTTTTATCTATATATTTTTAATTCTTTTTTACACCCAATAAGGCTTCAAGCAACCACTATCAAGTTGGGAGTAGCAAAAAAAAAGAGTAAAGTTATAGAGCAATGAATAGGTTGACAGAAGAATTAAAAAGTTGAAGGTTGTATGAGTCAGGAAAACATAAAGATGGGACAGAGTTCCGAAGGGTTAAAGCGCGTGGAAATAAGCTAGACAAATAAAAAATTTTGGAACATAAAGAAACAGATACAGTTGAAGAATGAGACTTTGATGAATGACAAGTCAAGGGAGAATTAGTTTTGGTTGATGAACTAAAGATGAAAGCTCTTTTGAGCAGCAACTATGATAGTATTTGTAAAAAAGAGAAAGAGATGCAACTTTACGACGATGGAAAAAGGCTCAAGCTCAGCAGATAGACCGAGCCCAACTCTGTTTACAATGCGTATTTTGGACCTTATCTTGAAAAAAAAAGAGCGTCATTAGAAGAACCAGTCCAAATATGATAACAGTATTCCATACAGGGAAGAATAAGAGATTTGTAGAGGTAAGGAATGGAATCAGGAGAAAGAAAATGGTGAGCTTGATAAAAAGAAGCAACCTAAGCAGATGCTAATTTAGCAATCAATTGTATAAATGGTTTTCATGAAAAGTCAGTTGTAAATGATAATCCAAGAAGACGTAAAGAAGTGGAATCAGTGAGAGGGTTACCATTCATCAATATATGAATATCGACAGTACTGCAATAGTTATTTGTCTAACAGCAAGTTATTTGACTT